GATGTTTTGTTTTTATTTTCATCCAGTAAAAGCTATTTTCTAATTTCCTTTTTTCTTTTCTTTGACCTATAGGTTATTCAGAAGTTTGTTCATTTCCAAACATTTGAGGGGTTTCTCAGACTTTTTCTGTTGATTTCTAAACTAACTCCACTGTAACTGGAGAACATACTGTGCATTGTTTCTTTTTTTCTATCCTTTTAGATTTACTGAGACTCATTTCATGACTTAGTATATACATAGGACCTATCCAGAAGAAAGTTCCTGGCTGAAAGAACACTTTGTCTCTGACATGAAAACTTATTTTCAAAATCTTTGCCAGAGTGCACTGTTTTTCAGGATGGAGATTATTCCTAGATCAGCCATGTGGTATCATTTTAACCTTCACAGTTCAGGTGACTATTCTGAAACACATTCATCATGCTGATTTGAGTATTAACAAAGCACATGCTTCATCATTTCAGAACACTTCCTCGGTCCTTATTACTATAGTCCTTTTACAAACACTGTTATTAGATTTTTTTGTCAAAAAAAGACATGATTTTCCTTAGAGAACCTTTAAAGGTTTTTCCTTCACAAGAATCCCTGTTTTTTTAAAAAGAAGACAACAAACTCACGGTTGTAGAACTGTCAGGCCCCCAGAATTATAAAATTATCAGACAGCATCATCTTGCTATATAAGAATAAATGAGTTCATAAATGTCAAGGCATAAAACAGAAAAGATCAAGTTCTTCAAATTCTTTTCAACAGAAGCGCTACACGACCTAGCAAAAGATAGTGCCTGGGACTGGGTACATGCAAAATTGTGTGGAAGTCCTGTTTCTGCCCTGCGACATTAGAGAAGCTTTGTGATATTTCTGTACCTAAGTTTTGTCATTTGTAATAAAAGGATTTTCAGAAATTTAATTTTCAGTATTGTGCTGAAAATGAAAGATAATGAAAGAATGCAGAGTATATTAACATTGGTAGACAATTAAATACTGTTACTTATCCACGACTTAAACTCTGATGATGACTTCTCATTTTTTTGGACAATTTCATAAAATGTTTCTGTGAAAAGCTGGGCACTTTTCATTGTACACTTGGCCTTTCAATACAGATTTTATATAAAGAACTCTTTCTTTAGAAATGAAATAGGGGTTAGATCATTTCATTAGTTCATATAGCCTCTTTTGCATTTTTCTTGTATCAATAGTTTCTGAGTATTTCACTGAACAGCACTTTTAAAAAAGCATTCTTTTGCTACTATAATGTAAACATATTTCAAATCTAGTATTGCTTATTTTAGTTGCTAGCATCTAAGATTGCTAGTATGTAACAATCTCCATATATTAAAAACAGCAACACCACATAGTTCAAACTAATGCATGCGTATGTATTTTAGGAGGAATACAACCCCAGGCACAGGTGCTGTTAGGACAGCAGCTGCTACTTCCTAGATGCAGGTGCTTCATGTGTTATGTCACAAAGCTTCCTGAGTGAGTATTCAGTGCCCAGCAGCAGCGAATGTGAAGGAGGAACAGCACGCTGGGAGATGGCCGTGATGTCAGGGGAAGGGTCTGTTTGCAATTGTAGTTGAGATGGCAAAACAGGTCTTAAAGGAGAAAATGACTTTGGTCTAAAGATCTAAAAAAGTCAAGAAAGCCAGCAAGATGGCGATCTGGGGGAGAATTGCAGCTGTGACCTCTGCTATAATGCAAGCGCCATGAAGGCAGATTCTGTTCTGTTTACTGCTGGTTGAGCATGTAAAACAGTGCATGCCATACTGAAGGTGCTCAAAAAATACCTGTTGAAAGAATGGATTTTAATGTACATGCAAATATATATATAAATGCTCAGTACCACTGAGTTTCTGCCACAAGTGGCAGCATAACCACTGCACCTTCCCTTTTCCATGTGATATGCCTTAGGGATTATTCCCAGTCAGCTGCTATTAAACACTATGTCATGATAACTACTACAGTAGTAATACAATATATATTATGTTTTACTACATTACATAATAATTATTTCCACTTATTTTCTATGCTACAGTATAAATTTCATGGAGAGGAATATAAAGTCTATCTCGCTGAGTACTAACCTCCAGATTATAGTTCCACACCGGATACACAGTATCTGTTCCACATTCAAATAAATGAATGAAAGGAATGAGTGAATGAATAACAAGTGACAAAGCAGTAACATCAGGAAATGGCTTTAGGACACTATCCGGTTTAGTTTGGAGACTCTGGCTCATGTCTAGGAACAGCTGGATATAATTCAGCAGATTATGGAAAAACAAAGCTCTGGTTTTGGGGATGATCTGAGAGTTCCTATACTATCTGGGATAGTGAAAGATGTGCTAGGGGTACAATATAAGGGAGATGGAATTTTCTGGATGCAAGGTTTATTGAAATTTTTATACAAAAACTTGGCTTCCCTATTTTTACAAAAGGAGTTCTGTCAGTGGGATAAGCAATAAGTTTCCCCTTCAGGAAGGGTTATAGATAGAACAGAACTTAATAATCAACTCTCCAGTTTGATCTTGTTGCCACTTCTAAGCTTTAAAAAAATACCATAACGTGTTGTTTAATCAGCCCTTAATGACCCAGCCTAATCAGTAATCAACAATTTGGTTTCAAAGATTATCATGTGATCTATGTCTTATTATTATTCAGAAGTTACCACTATTAATCCTTAAATTTCAAGAGGCAATAATTTAAAAAACTGAAATTAAGCCACATGATATTTTCTTAGAGTTACAATAAAAATCATGCAAAAAAACCCTAAGAGTAAATTCTAAATCAATAAATAACCTTAAAATTAGAACCACCAACATAATAACCATTTGAAGTAGAAAGTCACAAGAAGAAAACTAAACAATAAATAGGCTATCCAAGATCTACTCAATTTAGGAGATAGTAATATTCAATTCATATCATCAGTTCTGGACATATGCAATGTTGAGAAATGGATATTATCCCATGACTTTATGTACCATAAGTGAAACTGACCATATTGCTTCTCACGAAATCTATTTCTGATTTTGCGGAGCATTTTCTAAAATCACCAGATGCATATTTATTCCATGTGCCCTTTTCTTTACCTTTCCACCATCGGCTAATCAGAATTATAATTACTTTTCAAAGTATATTCCTCACTTTAATAAACATTTCATTAAAAAGAACCATGAGGGCCAGGGATTTAGCTCAGTGGTTCCAGTGCCTGCTTCTCAAGTGCAAGGTCCTGAGTTCGATCCCCAGTACCCCAAAATCCAAAAACAAAACCAAAAAAGAACCATGACTTTACTTCCTCAAGTGTAAGGACCCCGTGTGACCCTCCTTTACTTCCCATAACCTTGCACCATATCCTATTAATGTGATAAATGGAATTTTGATGATGTTAATGATTATAATTTTCTAGGGTCTTCAAACAACCATTTATGAAAACATTTCTTAACCTTTCTCCATTTTCATCAAAATGCAGGTATTTCTAAAGATCCTATCCTTGGCTCTCTTCTTTAGCTATGTTGTCTATGTGTGGTTGCTTTTTTTCCCAACCATTCCTATTAACACCTGTATGCACCAATGGTAAACTTTCAGTGGTGGCTTCCAAGTATTAACAACCTTGTGTAGTCAGCTGCTCAGTGAATATGGACCATTCTTGACCCTAACTTTAAATAGTAATGTAGCAAAAGTGAGACTCGGCTAGTTCTAGGACTAAGTCCTAAAAAATCTTGGCAGCTTTAATTTTTGTTTGTCCTAAGCACCAGTAAAAATTCCAGCCAGCCTCCTGGAGACATGTGAAGAGACCATGTGGCAAGGAAATAGCTTAGAGACTCTGGGGAGAGTGTCAGCCGTCTCTGCATCCTGAACCCAACCTCCAAACAATCTATGCAGCCACACCAGTGACCACCAGTGAAACCAGCAGAAGAACCAACCAGCTGAGCTCAGTCCCAACTGCAGAACCATGAACAAATGAAGTGTGCTCTTTCAACCCACTACATTTGTTTGTTGTTTAACAAACAAATAAAACAGATAAGAAAACTGATGCTAAACGCAAAATCTAAATCTCTAGCTGGGACTGTTCTCCAGCTATCTAAATTCCAAACTCTAGATTTAACTTTCCATATAGATATCTTACCTGAAGCTCTAATTCAACATTTGCTAAATTGGCATCCAGTATCTCACCTATTTCCTATATAATATTGTGTAAGTTGCTGATTTTAAAATTCTTTTCATCAGAATACTAGGACTCTGTGAGCGTTCCCATAGAAGTCTTGGTAGACACGTTTCAACTACAGTTCTCAGTCCCATCACAGCATGGGTCATAAAAACTAACTATAAGCTCAAAGAAATTTAAATAAATTATTGTTTAATTTTCAATACCACTTACAAAGTTCAGATTTTAAGAGAAAAGACAGAACTATTAACTACAGAGCCAGGATTTATACCAAGGTGCAGTCAATTGATAGCTCTTTAAGTTTTCTAGGCCCCAATTTTCTCATCTGTATTATGGGAATAAAAATAAATCTATAGGGTTATTATGAAAATTAAATGACTCAATATTTTTGAAGTATCTATAACACTGTAAAACATAGTTAGATAAGCTCTAATTTCTTCAGAAAAGTGTAACCACAGGCTCATTTTTTAAATGCACCACATAACAAAGAAACTACTTTATTTTCATATATCTATGTCCTCAAATGTCTCTAAGAAATCATTGTTCAATATAATTAGCTTTCTAATTAACTAAATGTTCTGCCATGAGATCACTGATATGTTTAATGAATGTGGCTAGAGATAGTTAAATATTATTTTCCAATGAAGAACTGCTATCGTGTGCTAGGAGTGCAGTTAAAGGTAGAGCACTTGTCTAGCATATGAGAGGACCTGTTCAATCCCTTAAACTGCAACAAAATAAAAATTAAAAAAAAAAAGAAATACTATCTCCATTGCAGGTTTGACAAATACATTCTCTATCTCACATCAGTAACACAATGTAAAGATTTACTACTCACCACTGATTGTCTTCGGCTTTTTGGCTATGTATTCCTTCCACTTTCTTGAGCTGAGCTGGGTGGGAGGTGGGATGAATATGTTGCTAACAGTACATGGCAATGCAAAAAGAGCACCCACCTGGAAAACAGCGCATGTTTTTATTGACTACAGACTGAAATCCACTGTTGAGTAGGAGCATATGGCAAATTCCCACTCACAATATCCGCTCTCAACACCACCACTATAAAAGCTGAAAAATGTCCCACCCTCTACAGAAAAAATAAAAAAGACAAACACAGAAAGGTATTTAAAGCGACTGTCTTCCCTTTTCCATTGAAGTACACATCGCCAAAAAACCTTGTTCTTCATACTATTTACTTTGTGGGTTAATGTCTTTGTATTATCTAAAATTAATGAGAAGCTCAGAGTTCTAACATAAAAAATATATCTTATTCAACCACAATTTTAGGACCTTTGATTGATGGATTATTGTTGTGGCTTCAAAATTAAAATACATTTGAAGGCAAAATAGCAATTTTTATTCCTAGAAACCAGAGATTTAATGCTAATAGGTAAAACTGCAGAGAAGATAATGAATCATATTCTAGAAAACATAGAGCATCAAATGACTAATATATGAGCAAACTCAGCTTATTTATCTTTCTACTCCCAGAGCTGGGTATAAGATGTTTATTAAGTATTTGCTCCAAAAAATCTCCATAATATATTTAGGTAAATTCTCAGTTTGATTAAAGACTAAATAAAACAAATGATAATTATGAAAACTGTATTTTGCCTATTTTAGAAATGTAGCTACATCAATTAGCATATCCCAATAAAAACATCAATTTTAAAAAAACGATGTCAAAGATCTTAAACCTAATGCAAAATTACTTTTGCATAATTGTTCTATGTAGATGGAATGGTTATATGGGATATGTAGACTCAACTAGACTTTAATGTGTTAGTTCTGATATTTATGTTTACTTATGCATTCATAATTAACAGATATAAAAATCAATACTTTATTCCGGCCCCTGCCGCGCAAGCACAAAGTCCCGAGTTCGATCCCCGGCACTAATAAATAAATAAATAAATAAATACTTTAGAAACAAAATAAAGGTAAAAGTAAAGATGACTATAGAAGCTAGAAGCTATAGCCTTTTTTTTGGTACTGGGGATCGAACTCAGGTCCTTGCACTTGCGCAACAGGCAGCAAAACCACTGAGCTAAATCCCCGGCCACAGCTATAGCCTTTTAAAAGGAAAATATATTTTACATAGTCAAGTATTAGCAATTAAAAAATTAAAAATTTAGCAGTACATGCATCTAATTTTCTAAACATGAAATCCTTCCTTGCTCTTCCTTGTGTAAGACTTCAGAGCCCAAAATGCATGATCCACAAGACGGACAAGGCAGTAATGGGAATGAGCCTGATCAGGTCCCAGCTACGGCTCTCTCAGTATTTAAGACATGTTAAATGCAGCCCCACATAAAGGTGTCATGACCCCTGGGCGAAGAATTGGCCCCGTTTCTGACACAGCTTATTTGGATTCTGATCACTCGTTCTCACCCACACACCAATCACTAGGCAACCTCAGGGAGGCGGGAGGCTATCATTCTATCCAGAATTGAAAGGCCAAACAGCATCTCAAACCTGAGTTTCAAAACCTTGATTCAATCAATTCAGTAGGTCCTGCCTAACAAGCAGTCACTATGAAAATCATTTTAATAGCTTTGCAAATTCCTCACTCTAAAATATATGGATGTGTAGACACCATAGGATAAATGGACATCCCACTCCCTACTATCCTACCTTGTCTTTTCCTAATCTAAGAAAATGAGCTTTACTCCAAGAAGCTTTTATTTATATTTTGGGGAACAGAAAGAAAACCTTTCAAAGCTCAAACATCTACTGAGGATCATATAAATCATTAGAGCTTAAGCCCCACGGAAGCTTGTTGAAGACTTGCCTTCTCTACCCTGTTGCCTCAATAGCTAAACAAGCATAAGTCACTACCACACAGCAGGAAATTAAAAAAAGAAAAAAGAAAACCAAGTCACAAAGCAAAGGAATTATTCCAAGGGATAGGCATGCAATTCAAAACTAAGTTTTTTTCAAAAATGTGAAAGATAAATTGTGGCCCAATATAAAAGAAAAATAAAACTGCTTCAAATTTAGAGATTTATTCTCTAAGTTACATAATACATTTGTAAATATTATCTCTTTTGCTGCATTTAGAAACTTACGTGGTCCCATCTAAGTATTGCTTACCAATAGAGTGTGTTCTAACATTTTATAGTCATGGTCGAAGAAAACATAAAAACCACAATTTAAAACAGAACAACTGATAATATGCTATTAAATAACAAGCTCAATTTTCTTCTAGAATTAGTTGCACATCATCAATAACTAGATGAATTAATGATTATTTCATTCTTGCATTAAATTATAGGTATATATCTTGATTTTTACTAGAAATATTAAGTCATGGGGCAATTTATCAAATAAGTTCTTTGACACACTATTCAAAATGTTATTAAACTTATGAGAAAACGAGGCTTGAAGCCAAAATTTTAAGTTACCATACAATTAAGCATCTTAAGGTCAAAACTGTACTTCCTTTATTATATCAACTTTCCATGGGAATTATAACCAAGATTTGACTTTTGCATGATGGGGAAACTGCTACAACTATAATAATCATTTTCTCCTCTCAGGAATGTTTGTTAAATAGTCTATTTGTTGTTAAAATAATAAGAAAATGCTATATAAATATGGTCAATATTGAGTGCATTAAAAATTATTTTCACAGAAACATAACAGTTAACCAAAAAGAATGCACTTATTTTTTTCTTACTAAAAACTGTATTTGACTTTAGATACATGATTCCACTTAGAATTCTTTATATTCTAGTTAAGAAAAGTAAAAATATACCAATTTTATATCAGTAAAAATATAAAGCTTTAAAATAGCTACAAATCTTCTAAGCATCATTATACTTCCAAGGAAAAAATTATAAACTCACAAATAATTCAGCAAAACATTAGAAACTTGTAAGTTTTTCTCTGTTCTACCATGAAACAATAATGCAGATATATGAATGCCTTCCCATAAAACTGAAATGAGATACTGAAGGAACAGGTTAAAAGTATGTTTGCATTAGTAACCATTTCATGGGTAGAACAAATATATCTGACACTTGAAAATTAAAGGAGGAGAGGTTGATTTGGGCTCATGGTTTCTAAGGTTGCAGTCCATGGTCACCTGGCTCCAAGGCAGAATAATCATGGAAGGGTGTGGTGGAGGAAAGTTGCTCACCTCATGGAAACCAGGAAGCAGAGGAAAAGCCAGAGAAAGAAGGGCAAGGACCAGGTACAGATCCCAAGGTCATGCCCCTGGGACCTATGTAGTTCAAACATCTAGAAGTGTACTTCAGTAATTTTCTAGGGTTTCTCAAACTAATAACCAAGATTAACCACCACAGTGTTCTAAAATTTTAAAGCCATTATCTGTTATACAACTTATTTCTGAGAACATTCTAAAATCAAAGTCAATTTGTCTGCAAAGCATTTTACTGTGAAAAGTCCAGAATTGGTTCAAAGTCAAATTACATTACATTAAAGAAACAAACTTATCAAACAAAAACAGATTAATGAGCTATATTCATTCTCTTACACATCTTTCAATATTAAATACAAAAACATAACTCCAACAATGTCTTACCTTGCCACACAGAGAAGAAATCTGCTCCAGCAGCAACATGGAGCTCTGCCTGCTGCTGTTTTCTGTCAGCCCTCTGTACTAAGGAATTAAAGAATCCAAGGTGGAGGAACCAGGAAATTATGCTACTCTCTGAGCTTGATTTTCTCAATTCTTCCACAAGTTGACTAAATTCATTTACTAAAAAACAACTCAGGAGTTAACAATTACTTCTTTCCTTAAAAATTACTTTTCTGATCATTTCTTCTGAATATCACTACTATAAACTACCTCAATAAGATATTTGTAAAAATTTTGCGTATAAAATTCAAGAGTCAGTATTCCATTTTTAGTCAAAAACAGGTTCTCTTTATATAAAACGTTCTGTTCTTAGGTGTGTTTCTGCAAATTTCTTAGATACATTTTCTTTTGTTTTTTGATTTCTCAGATACAGAGTCTCGCTATGTAGTTTAGGATAGTTTTTAACTCACTGTGCTCAAGTCTGGCCTTGAACTTGCCAATTCTGCCTCAGCCTCCTCAGTGCTGAGTTTATAGGCATGTGCCACCATGCTTGGCTCTTGACATGTATTTTCTTAAGAGTTCAAAATCTTTTGAATATTTGCAGATATATGTGATAGCACTTATATATAAGTATATTAAAAGGTCCATTAGGGGGCCAGGGATTTAGCTCAGTGGTTCCGCCGTGTGCCTCAGAAGCGCAAAGTCCTGAGTTCAATCCCCAGTACCAAAAAAAAAGATATATTAGGCAACTAGTGCTTGTATATTAATCATACCGATAGCATGAGAATAAACAACATTTCAGGAGTATATGCATTATTTTTTTCCCCACGGATTCCAAAAGTTTTTCCCTCTTTTCTACCTTGGAAATCATGGAAAGCAAAACCCAGGAAATCCTCTGCCAATTTTAGACGCATAAATACAGTGCTTGAAATAGTGCTGTTTTATTTTGTTTTGTTTTGCAAGGCATAGAACTTTCTTGAAACCAGAGCAATGGCAAGTATACTGATTGTTAATTAAAAACCATTTAAAATGTGGGCTGGAACCATGAAAACAGCACTCTTCACAATTCTTTGATGCATAGAGCTTCTTGCAGTGAGGTTGAGCCACCCAGAAGTGCACATTTACAGAGGGGAGAAGAAGTGCTACTCTGCTAAGGTGGCCGGGCCTACAGCCACCCTCACTTGACTTAGCTTCCCCTACCAGCCCAGATTGTTCTCCAGGTTTCCAGTGTGAAAACCCCCGGTCTAAAGCAAAGATCCAACATGAGACAAATACGTCCAATGTTTCCTAGCTTCCCCTGAACGCTGCTAACAGATAAAGTGAGAGAAACCCAGGACTAGTAATAGCTTATAATGGGAAGGATCTCCAACAGTTCTACGGGAGAATGTGGCTACACAGTTCTAATCGGTGATGTAGATTGGATAACAAACTTAAAACTGCCCACTGTGTATTACTCTGCAAACTACTACCCTTTCCCTGAGCTTGAACTCCTCCTCCGAAATCTGCCCTGTCCCGTGCTGTCTCAGCCAGGGCACCAACTTCAGCACAGGGAATCATCTACACTCAGGCAGCCTCGTCACGTTCCCTGCATGTCACAGACCACGCTGCGTGTGGATTCTACATCCCTAACCCTTCCTGTTCCTCACCCTGGACCTCCATTCCAAATGCCGCTTTAGTTCAAGCTCTGTAAGCTGACAAAATTCTACTCGTATCATTTAAAATTTGCTTCTCATTAAGTCGTATGGTCCTTCTCTGGTTCCTCACCATATTTAATACACAAGTTAACTCCTCATGGTGGTACAGGTCTTTTAGGATTTGACCAATCTAAAAATCCTCCCCACCTGACCTCCTGGCAACACCCCCCCTAAACCAAACACCTCCTAAAAAAACCAAAAAAACCCATTTTTTAAGTGATACTAGACATTTTCAGGTGGGTGAGGTTCACAGAAACCTTCCTGAATGCCATCTTGTCTACTGAAAAGGATGTGCAAGAAGAAAATAACGAACATTTGGTTTGGGCTGATGTAATAAAAGGCTGTCCATTCCATGACACCCACTGAGCACCTACTCTGTGCTACCCTATACTGCATTCATAGGCTTCCTCCAAAGAAACACAGCGAGAAAAACACAGAAGTCCCAGAGAATGCACGAAATAAAGTGCCAGTGAAGGTCACAAACACACCTAAGCTGTGTGCACAGGGATGTTTGGACAGAGGGCAAGAAGGAAGCCCAGATGACACCACACAGGTGAGAGGGCAGATCTAGCCATGCCCAGCAGAGAGCGCTGTAACTACCACCAATGCAAGGCTCCAACCCTTCCTTACTTCCACAACCCTACCCATAGCAAATACTTAGTAAGTACTGAATGAAATTAAAGGTGTCTACGTAGGGAGAATGATTTCTGATGGGAAAAGGAGAGGATCCAGAATACGGAAAAAGCAACAACTTGCATCCCCAGCAACTTCAACAATGAAGGGTCTCACTTGTGCATTCGCTTTAAAACCTGAACACAACACAGTAAGGATACTTCTACACCTCACATGTGGACTTACCTGCCAATACCAGAACATAACTACCTGACATAGAAAATATAATCTAGCATGACACAGAAATGAAAGGATACAACTCGAATTCAAGGTCCGACACGTAGCAGGAAGGTAAATCTGATAATTTTATCATCTGCACAAACTGTAGAGCAGGACCATAATAATGGAAAACCTGGAAAAGAAATTAAAACTGTGTAACATTTTAAATGAAATGAAAGCAAACAACTTAGTGATTATGAGTTTAAAACTTTAAAATGGATCTTAGAATGCAACTCTTTACACATCCTGCAAGCCAGCATGTAATCCTTCCATAATGAGCAAGACTTTCTTCCACTTCACTTCTGCCTTTCAGAGTCGACAGACATGGAGATTTCTTAGTAATCAGAAAGAGTTGTAACAGGAGAAAACAAGCACAGAAAGAGGCAAGCAATAGTGAATAAGAGTTCTCAACTTTTTCTCTTTAACAAGACAGACAGGTGATCTGAGAGGCTACAGTGCTGAAGAAACAAATCAGCAAATTACTGCTGCAGGTAGCTCTAAAGGACTGGAATAGAGCAAGAAAAGATATGGCAAGATGAGCTTGGGTTGAGTGATTGACTGAGATTTAAAGGAAAAAAAGTGGAGAGAAGACTGAAGAAACTAGAGAGAAGAGTACAGCCAGCAAGTGCTAATTAACAGAGAAAGTCTCAGAAAAACAAATGTTCAGTATTTCTTTGAGTAGAGCTTTTCACTAAATTAGAATGGGCTAGCAAAGGAGACTTATTTCAATAGTTGGAGATAAAGTGCCACATATGAAGAGCAAAGGAAAGAAAACACATCCTGAAGAAACTACCGTTTTATATCTGCAGAAAGCAGATAATTCTACTGTATGATTCTTTGTGTGTGGTATACAGTATATACACACGGGCACACAATATGCACACATATATGGAGGGTAGACTAACATTTCTTGAAGAGGCTGTAACTAAGACTACCCTCAATAGTATAAAAAAACTAGATACATTATCACACTTGAATGTTTTCCTACCCAAAACGAAAAGTTAATCTTGTGATTTTAATCTTAAGAATTTAAAATTCCTGTGAAAGTCAGTCATAGTAAGTTATTTCAAGTAAGCAATGCTAAACAATATTGGGAAATGAGTTCTCATTAGAAATTATGCCTTTTTTATACCACCATTCAATCAGAAAATATTAACTATTAATTCACATCCTTGTAACATCAAGACCATTATGTCTTGCAAATTCTTGTATCAGGTCTCTTAAAGTGGATTTCTAAAGTGCTTCTGTATAAATACCTTTTCTTATGTTATTTTTCCAGTGTTAAAGAAAGCCAGCTACACCCTTTTCTAATGATTATAATTTCTTTAAAGAACTAATATATAGAAGATCCGATATGAGAGTTAACACTTCTTAAACTACAAGTTAAGCATACGTCATCTTTGGTGTCAGATGCTCTTCTCTTACACCTTATTTAATCCCCACGGTAACTTTTAAGAGAAGTGTGTTATTATTGGTCCCATTTCACAAATGTATTGGTTGCATCCAATACATAAAAGATGACAGAGTCCAGTTTCAAACCCAGGGGTTTTTAACACAAAAACTCATCCTTTTCCCACCATATATTCCCTCCAGATTGTCTTAAATAGGTCACATAGTAAAGTCCAAAACAAGGGTAGTTTCAGCCCTCTACAGATTCAGAGCTAAGATCATTGTATCCAAAGACAAAATCGGTACTGATCATGATAACCTTGATAACAGAATAACTCAGGCACTTAATTATGACCAGAAGGGCCAGGGATTTAGCTCAGTGGTTTCGCTGCCTGCTGCACAAGCTCAAGGACCCAAATTCAATCCCCAGTACAAAAAAAAAAAATTATGACCAGAAGTGGAAGAATTATGCATGTGAACACACTTTAGCACACATCAGTAATCCAAGACTCAAACATTTTATAGTAACAACAATATTCACAAATGCATGATAGTAAAATTAAAAAGCTGAACATATAAATACCTTTGGCAAAATATCTTTATCCTTTGATGCTGTTCTCTTTTTGGCAAGAAAGCAAGTATTTAAAGTAGATGTACTAAAATTCTTAGGTGTGACTCCCTTTAAACAAAATTCAGGAAAACTAACTTCAGATCCAAACTGAAATGAATCCAAGAGAACACAGTTTCAGGCATCATGAATAAACTCATAAAGGTTAGTACATCTTTACTGCAATGTAAAAGTTGAGAGGAAACTCATGTGTAAACTTATTTTCAATTCCTCAGCTCACAGGGTAGCTCTTCCTCCAGGGCACACAGCCTTCTATTATAATGTATGCATCAATTTTTCATGAAACGCATCTTTGACCCTTCATTAGCTGGCTAGAGTGTGCTAAGCTCATTCTATGCCACCACAGGACCAAACAACTTCCTTTGCATACACTTGTTCAATATCTGGCTTTCTACCAGAGTGTAAATTATGCAAAGACAGAAACTATCTTATTCATCACTGGATACTTAGTATGGTGCCTCACACATATTTACCTTCAATAATGCTGTTATAGAGAAGATAAATCACACAGAGGTCATGGCAGAGGGGCCCATGATGGTAATGGCAGCAGCAACAACAGTAGCTAAACACTTACTAATTGGTTATTTTGTACTTTGAATAATTTGATTCTCATAAAAACCGATGAGCCAGAACTATTCCTGTCCCAATAAAAACTGTGACACTGCTGTGTCACTCAGAACTGGAGCAAAGAAAGAGCTGGATTTAAATGCAGGCACAGAACTCCAGAATCTATGTCCTTCATCACTATAATGCCTCTTAGCGGAGAGACATTCTCCACTGAAAAAGTGAGATCAAGTTTTAATGCATACTGTGGATTTATTTAATTTCTGTTTAAAAGGAGTAAAAGAATCACATGAAAAAGAACTGTCATTGTCTGCCTATCTGTAAGCAACCAGTTTCAGAAAATGCACACACAAGCAATTCTAGCTAATTAAACTTTCCACTCTTCCATTTGGTTTTACGGTTTTTCTAGAAAAACCTCTCGGCAGCCAGGCGTGGCCCGCCTGCCGTCCCAGCACACAGGAGGACCACAAGTTCAAGCCTAGCCTGGGCAACTCAGTGACTCAGTGATACCCTGTCTGAAAATAAAAAACATGAAATGGTCTGGGGATGCAGCTTAGTGCAAATGGCCCTCCATGCAATCCCCAGTACTGCAAAAATACAAGATAAAAACAAAAAACAAAAATAACTTCCCACAAAGTTTAATCTGCAGTTTAGCTTTCCTGAGATTAAGGTGAGCAAGATCCAGACCCACAAGACAGACCCAGCATACTGACTCCCACCGTCCTGCTGGAGGACTGGGAAGCCGTTGGGAATGACGGGGGACAAAGGCGCAGTGAGCAGTGCAAATCCACTTTGGAGGAATGCAAGCGCCCGTGCCACCCCGAACGAGCATCAGAAACTGTCCTGGTTTAACTTTGCCTATCTACAAAAATGTATAACAGACGCTCCTTTCAAAATGCACACAACTGACAAGAACCACCGAACATATTCATTCATAGTAAGAGACAGAGAAATGAAACTGTGGAGATTTAATATTAAAGGAGTCCAAATATCTTAATATTCTCATTTTGTGGTAGAGAAATCTGGGGTCTAAGTGAGGTTAAAAACTGGTCAAAGTTAGATAGCTAATCGGTAGGAAGCTAAGCAGTAAGTAAACTGCCCTAAGCTATTTTTTGCAGTAAATCTCACATGTAATAAAATAAAGGAACTAATGCCAAGTTGTGCAAAAGTATTACATTCTAGAACTGTACTACCTAAAACATAACCAGTGACTATTTAAATTAAATTTAATTAAAATCATATAAATTAAAAATTCAGTTCATCAGTTAACTAGTCACATATGAAGTGCTCAGGAGCAATATGTAGCAAATGGACCATTATATTAGCACATCTATCGCGCATTTCTATTACTGCAGAAAATTCTCGTTAGTGCTAGCGTAGAACATTTGTCTAGGGTACATTTACATGAAGATTTAAACTGTGTTGTAAAGTTGAAATGCCTGCTCTGTACACTGTGATAATTGAGAAATCCATTTACCTTTCTTTCCCATATCTGAATCTTTCCCCTCCATAATTCCTTTGAGTCAATCACACTGCCGAGCTCTTCTAAAGATACAACATTAGCAGAAAGGTATTCAGCAATCTTCTGACAGTTTCTGTTTAAAAAAAAAAAATCAGTGAAATTACATAGTTATATTTTACTTATATTTAATGGTTATAGTTTGACTACAAGTCTGAGAGGTGAAATTCACGTCACTGTCTTTGTCTGTAACTAATGCTATGGAATACCCATGAAGTCAAGTGGCTGCCTGCCGCAGCCCCGCAAACTAAGAGTAGTCATCCTCAGTACTGAGGGTGAGGACAGACTGCCCTCTAACTTTCCGTTTAGGATGCTATTGTGAAAGGAATTATTTGCCCTATTTCTCTCTCAGTGAGTCTGTCATTCGTGTAGAGGAAAGCTATTGATTTTTGTGTGTTGACCTTGTAACCGGCTACTTTACTGAATTTGGTTATTAAGTCTAGAAGACTTTTGGTGGAGTTCTTGGGGACTTTCCGTTTAAATACGGCAGATGTCCACAGACTGAACGCCCGCCCCTCGTCATACAGGATGTGTGGGGCTCTGCGACAGCACTCAGCACAGAGATCCCGACCACAAGCATCCCCATGCTGCCATGGAAGACAGGGCTTTCACTTTCCCAGCTCGCTCACGTCAGTGGTGTGCATGGGCGTCGTAAAGCTAACATTCAGTAAATATTTGGCTAATGAAAACCATCATGAAGTTAGTAAATCCAATTTAAATACTAACTTAAGAACCAAAATTGATATGTACCACTGATTCCTACTGAAATATCACAAAACACAGCAATGTGTATTTATTTCTATAGTGGTACATAACATAAAAAGCAGACGTGACATTTTAAATCCAACATAACCAGGTATCCATGGTGTTCATCATGCTGCCCACTGGACAATCTGAGCCTATTTAAAAGCACACAGTGAGGCTGACAATCCATGCTCAATAATAGTCATAAATCACAATCAATAATACTAAAACCTTAAAGTTTCTTGGGAATCTAAAATAAGAAAAATCTAGATTCTTGACATACAGATCTCTAATCACAGTATGACATAAATCTTTACTTTGTCATATTAAAATAATTTTCAAATGCTGAGTCTATTAAGAATAGGATAGTGTTTGGACAACAAAAACAATAATCAGGACCAAAGCTTACGTTTCACAGTGATTTCCTGCTATAGTAATTTTTGCTGAATGCCATTCTCTCAGATGTTTTAATGCTCCGATAGTAGGTAAACAGTCTTTCAATTTAGAAGGATCTTTGTCAGAGGGCAATAGTATTATGTCTATCATTGCCCTACCTAGAAAGAGGAAAACAAATTGTTGTAGTTTTTAAAAGGCATTAGATCTGAAGGGTCTTAAAATACTACCTAAACATTTGAATTTTAGGTTTATCTAGAACATAAAGAAGAGTGTTCACTTTAAATTCTGAAATTCTTCAAAACAATATAACTCTTCAGAAGTTCAAAGTTTTAAATGTTCATTATTTAATTTAAAGCCATGTTATCCTGAAATAGCTAGCATATGCTAGAAAACAATGAACTATATCATAATTAGCTGATTCTGCAGCAGTGGTTAATTATACACATTGGTCTGCAGATAATCAATGCTATTGTTATACTCAACAGAGGAAAAAAACCTTTGCAATTTCATTATATTTCTCTACACTTAATTTTGTCATCCAAAAAGGAATGAATTAGTATAAAATTACAGTGCTCAAATAAATTATTTCTCTTTAACGGACAGTAAAAAACTCAGAAAAACCAATTATACTGACAACATCATTGGATTCTGAGAAATAAGACTGACTTGGCAACAGCTTAAATTTCTTAAATTATAAATTCACCAAAGGGCCAGAATAATCAAAATGAAAGAGAGCCCAAAGAAAAATTTGATAAAGTCCTTTAATTTACCCAAACAGCAACTGTATAATATTTCAATGCATATTTTCAACCTGATACATTTCATTAAAAAAAAAATGCAGGGCCATTGGTGTAGCTCAGGGGGGGAGTACAGGTTTGGCATGCACAGGGCCTACGTCCGATCACCAGCACCAGAAAAAAGGAAAAAAGGATTTACATCAGGGGTTGGCGAACCTATGATGTGTTATTTTTCTCTTAAGACAAAAGATGTTAATGTATGAGTTGGTTTTTTTCTAAACTAAGACCTCAGTATTCAGGTGTAATTGCAGTGTTGGCACCTTGAGATAAATAAATGGGTTTTGGGTTGCAGTTTGGGCACTTGTCTCTAAAAGGTTCGCCATCGCTGATCTATGTTTACCTTTTAATACATCCGGTTATTTCTCTGTGGGACTTTTATACTAAAACATGATCTTCTTGAGTACCAGGACTGGACAAGACTGTCAGCTGCCAGAGTGTCTGTGGTGGGAACCCGTGCTTCACTGGTCACTCACATCCTGCTCCTAGTACTACCCGTGACACGCATCAGGCATGACTAACACCTGGTCAGTCGGTGACCGTCCCTCGCGAGGACGTTCAGAAAAGGAAGCCCTTCAGGAGGGTCTGTGAGGGCTAATCACACCAAACTTTAGGGGACACCAACTTGGTTAACACAAAAGAAGGTTAGCTTAGGACAAAAACAGTTTTTAAGAATACTATGATACAGTATTTCACAAAATATGCCTTGCATTTTAGAAAAAAAAAATGGTTCTACAAAAAAAGTGCTGAGCAAAGAGGTTCTTTACTGTCCAACATTCCACTTGATAACATGTCCATCAGCTTTGCCAGGAAAGAATGTGATCCGAATGATCTAGTTTACAAAAGCTGCTTTTCCAAGAGTGGTTTATAGGATTAGGGTTCTATATATAGAAAATATTCTGAGGGAAAGGAAAAATTATGAGAAATGGAAAAAATGGAAACAAAGTCTTTGTAAATAGTGAAGGGTGGAGGGGGTGAAGGGAGGGCTTGGAATGGGGAAAAAATGAGAACCAAGATGCATTATGTAAAGGTACAAGCAAGCTAAATGATAATGATTTACAAGATAAATGTAAATGTATTGCATACATAAAATGTACCAATAAAAGAATTTTAAAATAAAAAATAAAAATAAAAATAAAGAAAATATTCTGAAAAACAATGTTAGTGGTAAGATTGCTTTTCAGTAATAATTAAATACGGAAACATGAATATTTAATTCTCTAAATTCTAAATTTTGCTTAGAAAATAAGAAACTAATTTTGTTTAGAAAATAATAAAAAGCATTGTAATTTCTCAGTAACCTACTTAATAAAATAGTACAATACATTTTGTATAAACTTCAATTAAGAAATCATTCTTTATGAGGTAAGACTCTTAAATGAAATAAATAGGACACACATGTGTAAATACCAAATAGTTTCTCTAGTGTGAAAAACTGAAAGTGTAAATAAGGACTAAAAGGTATAATAGATAATGTGAAATAGGAAGAAAAGGGGCAAAGGGGAAGGGGAAGTGGGAGAGGTAGGGGAAAGGAAAGAAGGGAATGGAATTAATATGAAAAAATGGAAACAAACTCTTTGTAAATAGGGAGGGATGGAGGGGTTGAAGGGAGGGCAGGGAAGGGGGAAAAATAAGAACCAAGAGAGATTATGTACAGGTGCAAATTTCCAATGATGAATGTCATTATACTGTGTATCTAAAATGTACCAATAAAATAAAAAAATGTTTAAAAAGAAATCATTTTTATTAGTGTACATATGTGAAGTGTATATATTACATATGATTGTAATAATTACAATCATCTTGGGGAATTGGTCCATATTTTTCATCTGCATTTAAAGATTAGAAGAATATTACCTTAAAGACTAAATTCATCCCTCATCATAAAAAAGAATATGAAAAAGATACAAGTTATCAAAAACAGTCAAAATGTTACCAGGAGCAGGAAGCTTGTCTGATAACTGATGCAAATTTTCTGCAGATTCTTCATATAGCCTAAAACACAAAGAAGAAAAACCTACCTTATCTAACTGATAGTCATAGCTTGTAACGGTGGTCCGTGTGTTAGTGTGACACACACACTACTGTATTCACCCCTTGACTACTGTGGCACCACTGCTAAAGCCACTAAAGCAAATGACTAGTATGGGTGGAGGCTAGGATTCAAACACTGCCTACAGCTATGTACCCCAAAGCAAATGTAATTAATAAGAACAACAAAGGGAAGCAAAGTCCCTAAGTTATATTTGGTATATTAAATATAAATGATAACTAGACCAAACATTTTTCTGAACCTTCAAAGTAAGCTTTTGCTAATAAAGAAAACATACTGCCTTTCTTTAAATTACATTTAACAGTCATGATTGGAGAGTACGATGTCTTCTTCCATTAAAACCTGATGATGATGAAATTTTCTTAAGAGCTGGTCACACAGATAATTAAATCCTTTACTATAAACCGATATTGTCAATAAAAAAGGCATCCTGTGTAAACTATAGTTTTCAGGCTCCCTCTTGTGGAGATAATTATTAAGTCACTTACCAGAAGTTTTTTTTTTTTGGTACCAGGGATCAAACTCAGGTCCTTGTGCTTGCGCAGCAGGCAGCAAAACCACTGAGCTAAATCCCCGGCCCCTAGAAGTTTTATACTTGTCATCTTTTAATGTGGTGGGAAAACAAGGATCTGCAGGAACTTTAAAGTGAAATGCAGAGCATGTTAGAAAACATCTAAAAGAACCTCAAGACTTCATGGGTGACAGGAGAGAGGCCCAGAAGCCACACGGCTGGCACGAGGTCACTCTACCTACTGGTGCTTTCCCGGCCCTACCATGCCCTCCTGTGAACGGTACAAATGACAGCATCTGGAAACCGGTAACAGGGACGTTTAAAGCCCATGCACTTTATAGATACACTGGAGGAGTGTAAAATACAAAAACAGCAGTTTTCTGTCATGGGTTATGAAGACAAAGATAAAAAAGAGAGATATTAACTATGAGTCGGAGATGGGATGTTTTACGAAGAAAAAAAAGCACGAGTTGTCACCTGGATTATCACTGCGCCACAGTTCAAAACAGTGAACTCAACCCTATGGCCTCAAGTTCTGTGTGGATCCTAAGAAGTATATGTAATGCTGGAGATTGACATACATTAAAAAAATCTGATTTTCAGCCTCAAACAGAAAAAGGAAAATAACACTTCGGTTTGAATGCTATTAACTTAATAACATTTCTACTTGCACTTTAAAATACACTATCTGTCAAAATTACCTTCAAGTAAGTGACGTATTAATTAAAATACCATCTTATAATTCTCTCAATGTAAACTGAAGAAAGAAAACATTTTCAGGTATCAGTTCGTTCATTTTAAAGAACTCTATTCAAATGAAAGACCCAAATTGCCTAATTTCTTCCAAAATGAAGAGTTAAAAACTTTTCAGTTAATAAAATTTCCTTGGTATAGTTGCTAAAATATGTGAACTTCACTTTCCTGGCTTAACTGAACTCTTTAAAGTTAAATATCTGAAAATGGTGTAAAAGGAACACGTGCATACTCGGCCAAGGACAGGGACTCCCTGCTGTTGCTGTCCTCTTCTTCCAAGCACTCAAGGGCACTCAAACATTCTTCAATATTTGCTTGAAGAACATCTTCAATCTTATCTTTTTCTGCATCAAAATGTATCTCTTGCCAATCAGAGCTACAGAACTAATAAAGGGAAAGACTGCATTAGAACAGTGGATGCGTGGAATTCGTTATTGAAGCAAAGGCACAGGCTAATAGCAGTTACCTGGTAAAAGCCACATATGGCCTGCACTGCAAAAAACCACTTCTTGGAATCAGGAATGCCACCCACTGAACAGGCTTGGAAACAAAATCACACTTATTACAACACATAAACTGATGGCACAATACACATACTTGAAAGTTACGTCATTTGTAAACATATTCTATGGTTCTCCAAGATCAATCAATCTACAGTAACTGCTAAAAATGCAAACAGAACAATCTGTTTCAAGAGCAAATTTACAAAACACTGTGCATTAGTTCATTGTAGCACAAAATCCATATTATTTGAATCATCATTTAAAACACATTCCAATCTACTATAAAGATGTTGGAAAATACACCTACTCTATCAAGAGCCATGAAAGCTATCAGGGGAAAACAACTCTGTCCCTGAAGACCATGCTGGCTTGGTTCAGCCTTGCTAGAGATGCTCTTCCTGGAAAATGCAAGGCAGACATGACATTAAAGGCCCCCAAGGGTACCTATCAGAGGAACCATGAAGAATTCAGAGCTGGTTACAGAAACCAGACTCAAAGGAGAAAGGGGTAGTGAAATGTGGTTTAACTCATGGAGGCTGCGTAAGATGCTAAGTGCCTATCACCACCAGGTTCCAATAGTCCCAGACGAAGACTTTACCTCCTGTTTCCTTAGGAAAATCGGAAGCCATTAGTAATCACGCCTTTCAGGAAACATACAACTCCAACTGCACACCATTAAGTCTCTCCTCACTCCTCCCCTTAACACGTAAGAGGCACTGACCTCCAATTGCAGTTATCCCTCAATCGTCTCTGAGACCCTGGCCCGCTTATTTCAATCTGTTCCTCTCATTAGCGTTTAGATGCAATTATTTCTCAAATTAGTATTCTTTTTCAAATGAAGTCCTTTTAAATTTACTTCGCTTTTTCAGTAACTACTATAACTTTATCTTAATGGAGAAATTTTCCATCTCTACTTGACTGTCTGCATTAGCCGGTCAACTTTCCCACTCTCCTCCAAATACATTTCAGTATGGTTTTTTGTTTTTGCTTTGTTTGATCTCCAAAATGCCATTGAAATTACACTCACCATAGTCACCAATAACTGACTTTACTAAGTCTAATCATTTTTAGTTTTGTTGTCACTTGACCTCTCAGCAGAAGAGTAAAACAAAAGAATCAAAGATGACCCATTTGACTGCTTTTTCCTTAAAATATGTGATTTATGTGGCTACTTCTCTGGCTGCTCCTTCTTGGTCTTTTAAAAACTGGTTTCAGTTCATTTAAATACTGAGATTCTGTTTTAGATTTTCTGTTCTTCCCAGTATTGATAAGCAATCTCTTCTTTCTCATGGCTTCAACTGACATCTATAGCTCAATGACTACCATCCATCTCTAGCCAGACCCTGTATTCTGAAGTAAAGACAGAAGAAGAAATGGTAAAGAAGTCACTTGGGAGCATTAATAATGTAGTTTTTTTAATCAGGGCAAAATCTATCTTATAAGGCCACATTACCTCATACTGTGTGTGTGTGTAGATATATATATCTAAAGATGGATAAGAACGTTTCCTAAAGGGAGTAAAATTCAAGTTGGGAAAGTAGAATCATTTTCCTAACAACTTTATGACATTTATGATTCATCAAGAAGAGAAAGTAATGTCTTTTCCAGTTTTGTAGACTCTTAAGTTACCTCTGTATTCCAGTTTCTTTTGCAAAATCAACAGTATTTCTTGTGCTTCTAAATAATCATCTTAATTAAACTAATTCCCAATACAAATTCTGTGACAGAGAAATGAGGGGTTATGCTATACTTACCAGGGAAAGTACTATCGTCTGGGTTGATTGAAGTACTAATGCTTCTTTTTAGGAGGCGATAAACATTTGCTGCTGTGAAGTCTGAAAAGTAAATACAGTCTAACTCAGTGGGCCCCAACGTTACATAATCTAGGCCTATTCCAATTTCACCATCAGACTCTCGAGACCGGTATGGCATAGAGAAAATAACTACATATACGCTGATCAAGAGCTATTCAAAGGTTGATATAGTAAACTGAAAGCAAGCAGGGAATATAGGAAAAGCTCTTGGTTCGTGCATGCCAGTTAGCACAAATCAAAAATTCCCTCAACTGAACAGAGAAACTGTCATGACAACTTTTACACAATCACATGTATTTCCTCCTCAAAAGATCTGCTTGATTAAAACAAGTAAAATGCAATACAGTCTCAGCAGGAGCACTGAAAAGCAACACAATCTGTTAAAATTCTATAAATTGATCAATTGCTTTTTAAACTTAGATTACACGTGAGATGTCACCTCCCATTAGAATATGAGCTCCAGGTCAGCAAGAGCCTTATCTATCTTGCTCCTTTCTGTACCACCTGCAGGTGGAACAGGAGGCATAAACATTTACGAATGCATACTCTTCCTGAACACAAAACTGCACGACTAAGGCGTGGGGAATTCAATCAGTTACATTTTTACTGTGCCCTGAATTTTGGGGTGTGGATCCTGCATCCACAGGTTTGTGCCGACTTTCTCGTGAAGCTGGTGTATTTTCAGCTCTCGTTAGATCTATCCCGGACAGTCACAGCTTCTGGGGACATTTCCACATAAGTGACCCTGCCGCCACCCGTTCCCGCCTTTTCTAAACCCCGCGCTCACCAGGCTGTTTCTCAGTACCGTCAACAGACGACACCTCTGGCCCGGGGTCTACCTCCTCACTGGCCGTCGATGGAAACTTTCTTTCACCCCAGGTCACCAGCAGCAAGTACCGATCCATCTCCGAGCTCAAAACTACTTTTAGACTCGAAACGGCCGCGCTACCGACGCACTTCCGGTTTCCTTCCGCTTAGTTCTGCTGGAAATTGTGTCCACCATCTGTCTTATGTGGGTTTCCAGGAACTTTAGGGAATTATTCTCAGACATGACTCTCTCAGTAATGCCATTATTTCCTCCTTTCAGGATAAAACCGTTGCCATAGGAAGACTGGAAGGAACCCAGGAAAGGAGAAGAAGCAGGCGACAGCTGCACGGACTAGGAACTACGGTTCTTGGCTCTGTGTGTTTCCCGCCTAGCTAGTCTCGTTGAAGGCTCGACTTGGCTTCCGGGACATGAAGGGCCTGCCGACGGGGAAGTATGTCGAGCTTCTCCAGGGCTTCCCAGGTGAGCCCGGCCTCCTGTGGCTTGACGCTGGTCCTCGGACGGGCAGAAAGACAGCAGTGGTCCGGCGGAGTTAGTAACGAAGCTGCATCAGGAGGGAGAAGCCGGAACCCGCAGCCGAGAGGGCCCTTGGGGAGGCACAGACAGGAGGCTCGTGGGTCTGGCCGCCTTTGTGTTTTGTCCCCGGCCCCTCTCTTTTCCCTCAGCGCTTTTCAGGTCTTTTTTTCCAGTAAGAAGTAGGAGAGAAAGTCAGAGGTAGTTAGGAGCGTCGCGTCGGGAGCGCCGGAGAGCCGGGTCGGAGGGGCAGACAGCAGAAGGCTCAGGGCTGCTGTCAGGGTTGGGGCTCGGGCGGCAGAAGAGCGCTGCTGGGGCTCGGGTGTCGCGAGCGAAGGGGCTGAGTCTTGAGTAGGTCGCGAGGTGACAGCCCGGGGCTGCTTCAAGGGTGCTTCCTTCCTTGTAGTGTTTGTTACCCATCTGTGACGAGGCAGATACAGAAAGTGAAAATAAACATTTTAAAGTGTTTATAGCAGTTTGACATTGTGACAGCATTTGTACTTTTTTTTTAATCAAAGTTCTTTTTCTATAAAAATATCGAAGTGGCCAGGGATTTAGCTCAGTGGTTCCGGCGCTTGCCTTGCAAGCGCAAGGTCCCGAGTTCGATTCCTGGTACCAAAAAAAAAAAAAAAGGAATAAAAATATCGAAGTATTAGTCTGCAATGGATGGGAGGAAACTGATTTCCTGCTTCTGTATAGGCTAGTTTGAAGTTTATGGTAATTAAATTGGAAATAAAACCTAAACTCAGGGCTGTGGTGCATGCCTGTAATCCCAGCGTTCTGGGAAGCTGAGGCCGGAGGATCGTAAATTCGAACCAGCCCAAGAGGCTGCCTCAAAATAAATTTTACAGTGGACTAAGGATGTAGCTCATTGAGAAGGTTCTGAGTTCACTCCCACTTCTGCAAAAACAGACTACAAGTCTAGTTTTATAGCGTTGTCTAACTTTTCATATCTGAAATTTTCTTAGACTTTAAAGACACTGATGAATTGTGCGGAAACAGTGGTCTCTCTCTGAGGCAACCTAGATGTCTGAGACAGGTCTTTAAAACTTAAAATCGCTCACCGTCTGCCATACTTTCCCAGCTACATTGTTCTTTTTAACTCTGAAATTGAATTCCTGAATGGTCTTCAGTTTCCAGTTCGACATTGAACTTTCTGTGTAATGTGCCTACTGAAAATACTGAGAATAATGAGAAGAGATTTCCTTTTTCTAGAAATAGAAATAAAAGCAAACACTTTTAGTGATAATCTTTTTTTCTTTTTCTTTTTTCATTGAGAAAAGTGTTAGTGCATATTTGTTGCAGAGAATAACAGGTTACATTTTGGCGTATTTGTACACGTATGTAACATACTTCAGTCATTTCCACCCTCTCATTGTTGCCCCCCATTCTCTTCCTCCTATCTTGTGGTCTAGTATGGATCATGTTTTCCTTTTATTAGTGCCTATTAACTTTATAAAATATCGAGTTTCAATGTGTATATTTTGATCATATGCATCCCCCTTATACACCCTCATCTTCCCCCTTATTCCCTTCCTGTTGTCTAATAATAGTCTCCCTTCTACTTTCATGTCTTCTTTTTTAGATTCCATATATTAGGGACAACATGCAATATTTGTCTTTCTGAGTCTGGCTTATTTTGCTCAAAGTGATCTCCAGTTCCGTGCATTTTCCTGTAGATGACAAAACTTTGCTCTTTACAGCTGCATGATGCTATATTGTGTCTGTACACCCCAGTCTTTCTCCACTCATCTGTTGATGGACACTCAGGCTGGTTCCATATCTTGGCTGTCGGGAATCGTGCCACAGTAAACATAGGTGTGCAGGCATCTCTGTAGTCTGCCGACTTCAGTTCCTTAAGTATGTTCCAAGGAGGAGAATAGCTGGATCAAATGGTAGCTCTGATTTTAGATTTTCGGGGAACCTCCATTCTGCTTTCCATACAGGGTCCCCCAGTTTACATTCCCACCATCAGCGTAGAAGGGCTTTTCCCCTACCTCACCCCTACATCCTTGCCAGCATTTATTGTTATTTTGTATTTTTGATGATTGTCATTCTGACTGGGTGAGATGGAATCTCAGTGTAGTTTTGATTTGCATTTCTGTAATGACTAAAGATGTTGAACCTTTTTGTATATATTAGGTGGCCAGTTGTACTTTTTAGAAGTGTCTGTTCAGTTCATTTGCCCATTTATTGATTGGGCTATATGACTTTTTGATGTTTTTTGAGTAGTTTTATACTAGATATTAATCTTCTGTCAGAATAGTAGCTGACAAATTTTCTTCCATTCTGTAGGTTTTCTCCTTCTGTTGTTTTCCTTACTATGAGAAACTTTTTAATTCCTCTTTATTGATTCTTGCTATTATTTCTTAGACTATCGGAGTCCTATTCAGGAAGTCTTTGCCTGTGCCTATGGTTTCAAGTGTTTCCTCTATGTTTTCTTTTAACAGTTCAGTTTCAGATCTTATACTGTGGTCCATTTTTAATTGATTTTGGTAGCGGGTAAGAGATAAGGATCTACTTTCAGTGTTCTGGCATGGATACCTGTTTTCCCAGCACCATTTGTTGAAGTGGTTGTCTTCTCCAGTATGTATTTCTGGTTCCTTTGTCCAGAATCAGATGGCTGGAGTTGTATGGATTTGTCTGTGTGGCCTCTATTCTGTTTTTGGTCTGTATGTCTGTTTTTGTGCCAGTCCCATGGTGTTTTTGCTACTGTGGCTTGTAGTACAGTTTCAAATCAGGTATTGTGAGGCCTCCAGCCTGTGGTTTAACTGAGAGTTGTTTGGGGATATTCTGGGTTTTTGTGTTTCCACATAAATTTCATGAGTGTTTTTTCTCATTCTGTGAAGAATGTTGGTATTTTGATGGTGAGTGTGTTCAATCTGTAGGTTGCTTTTGGTAGCATGGCCATTTTAATAAGATTAATTCTGCCAATCCACGAACGTGGGGTTATTCGTAGAACAATCTTTTCTGTGTTCTAGTGTCTTCTTCAGTGTCCTGAACTTTTCACTGTGGAGCTCTTTTATTTTTTTTTCTAAGCTACTGTGGATAGAATTTTTTTGTTTCTTTCTCAGCTAATTCATTATCAGTGTATAGCAAAGTCATTGACTTAATGGTGGTTTTATATATTACATAGTTATTTTGAAAGTAATTGTTGATGTTACCTATAAATACATCAATAGCAATAATTTAATTCCTTCCACTTTAATTAGTGTTGTCTTCCTGTTTTCTTTTTGCTCAAGCAATGGGCCACCTTTGCCCGAATGTGGTATCTCTTAGACGGGAGGATGCAGCCCCCTGGCAAGCTGGCAGCTGTGGCATCAGTAAAGCTTCAAGGGCTGCACAAACCTGTGTACCATCAAATCAGTGAGTACCCTGTGCTCACGCCGCAGTGAGTGTTGCGTAGGCCCTGCCCTTACCACGCCGTGTCGCGTGGGTGTTCTCGGCCCAAGTATAACCCTGCTGGGGCTGCCTGGGCTGTGTGTGAGGGCCTCTCCTGAAGACTCCCATTCCAGTCCTTCTGAGCACATAGGAGGGCTCTAAAACTGCACTTGGCTTGTTCATGGGAAAACCACCCAGACCAGTTTCCTGGGACTGCCCATTTTATGCCACTGCCAAACAAAACTAGCAGGGCCCCTCTTCACTGTCCTGAGTACCCCAGTTTGCACTGTGAGTTCCTCATGCACGTCTTTTTGCGTGATGCCTTGTCTTTGAGTAGAGTAGAAAGTTTTTAAAAATAAGGGAAATCACTCGTACTCCTGCCTTCTTTTTTAAAATTTCTTTTCCCAGAGAGTTATGTAGAATTATCTGGGTATGAAAGCTTACGTTTCACTGTTTCAAATTAATAGATTTGCTTTTCTATATCCTTTTTCTAAAACAATATAAAATGCAAAAAGGTTGTTTTTAATCTAGAAGAGTTCTGCTGGTAGGTAATTCAATTTGACTTTATCTGCCAAGACTCTTCACTACCAGATCCACATGTCGGTTTTTAGTCCATCAGCAGCGTTTGCTGCAACTGATCACGTTTTTGTTTAACTTTTTATTGTAAGATATATCAAACATACAAAGGTGTATGCATATATGTGTATGTGCATATTTTAAAGAAAAGTCATAGTAACGATTATGAACACTCACTGAATACTCATATGGTCAGCACTCTTCGCTTTTTTTTTTTTTGCCATTACAAATAATGTAACATTGTTGTACCTTTTTCTTGATGCATGGAGGAATTTTTTTTCTGAGGTATATACACACATGCCAGCTCACTGTGGTTTTATGTGTATTTTCCTGACTACAAATATGTAATGAGTATTTTTTCATTAGTTTCTCAGTGTTTATAATCTTCTCTGAAATGTTTTTGTGTGTGTTTTGTTCATTTTTCCGTTGGGTTATTTCTCTTTCCCTTTTTTTGTTATGAAAGTTTTTAAACTTTCAAAAAAAGCTCAAAGAATAATATGGTGAACTTCCTCTTCCTGTCCAGCTAGTTGACAGGGTTGGTAACATTCTACCATGTTTTCCCACTCAGCCTTTGAAAATGTTACAGATTTGATTGTCATGCTCTTAGCCCAAATTCAAAACATATATCTCCAAAGAATTGAGGTATTTTCCTGTGTAACCAAAATACCATTGCCACACCTCAAAAAATAAACAGTAATTACATAGGTGCTTAGCCAGTGCCTTTTAAAATTCCCTAATTGTACCAAGAGGTTCTCCTGATTCATTTATTTGAACTCAGACCCACCCAAGGTTTATTTATTGCCTTTAGTTGTAATGTTCCTTTAGTCTCTTTTAGTTGAGAATAATCATTTTATTTTTTTTTTCCCCGTCATGAACCTTTGGAGGAATCCAGGCTGAGTTTTATGGAGAACTTTCTCCTGGAAGTGCCATCTTCAGCTGTTTCCTCGATGCCACGCCCCGCTTCCCCTCTGATAACTCTTGTCCCCAGAACCCTCTGCTGTCCTCAGCTTCTGAAACTCCCAGTTACTTCTCTGTCACTGAGAAGTGGAGCCCTGGGTGCAGACTCGGGTGACTGATATCCATCCTGTAGCCCTAGAGCTCATCTGCATGTGATGCTCGCCCAGTGTGCCTCTCCGGTTTTGACTCTGAATTACAGATGTGCGTGGCCAGTTTCCTACCCAGATGTGCAAAGCCTCTTAGGCCTCTAGTAGATGCGTAGTAGACATCTCCAGTGAGGAAGCCTGTTTGGAGACAGCTTGCTCCTTTGCTCCCCACCTAAACAGCTCCTTCCCAGATCTCTCCTCTCAGTTCTTTTAGTTCTTCTGGTCTGAAACATTTGCCTCATCAGTGACTCCTCCTCCTCCTCTATAAATATAATTATTTGAGAAATTAGAAAAACTCTGACATCTGGCATATCTGGTTATCACTCCCTTCTCCACTGAAATTTTAGGCTCTATACTGTTGTCCTTTCCAGTTGCAAGTCAGAATTAAAGCCCAAGTTTCGCCAGTGCTCTTCAAGGAGTTATATATGTGGCCCTGTTACTCCTATGACATTGTTCCCACCTCTCTGTCCCTTGAGCAGTCCTCTCGGGCCTGCTGCTCTCTCTTTTTTTGTTTGTTTTTTATTGGTTGGTTAGTTGGTTGGTTTTTTGAGACAGAGTTTCACTGTGTAGTCAAGGCTGGCCTTGAGCTGTCTATGTAGCCCAGGGTGGCCTTGAGCTCGCAGCGATCCTCCTGCCTCAGCCTCTGGAGAGCTGGGAAGGCAGGTGTGCGCCATCATGCCCAGCTCCCGCTGCCCCTTCATGGAGTTGCTGGCCAGCCACATTTTTGCCTCAGGGCCTGTTCACTCTGCCTAGATGTTCCTTCCCGAATATCTGCCTGGCTTACTCCTTCACAGTGGTCAGATTTCTTCTCAGGCATTTGTGCTGGGAACCAGGCCATTTCTCGTCCCTCTTGTCTGCTCACCCTTCCTAAACGTTTACTTTGCTGCTTTTCTTTAATAGCATTTATGAATCATCTAATATGTATATTCTATCTTTGTTACTAGACTAAGTTCAGAAAGACAAAGACTTTACCTATCTTGTTGACAGCTATATCTCCAGTGCTTGATATATCATTGGGATGCAAGAAATGCTTGTTGCATGAATGTTTGCATCTATAAATATCAGTTCTGAAAAATAAACAAAATACTTTTGGCTAGAACTTTGCCTAGAACTTTTAAACTGAGCTATGTTTTGGATGAGTGGCGCGATGGCAAAGTATTTACGATAATTTGATTTGGATAAGAGCAGGGATTTATGATCTTCCCTATTTGTTACAGTTGCTCTATCTTTTTTCTCCACTTGACATGAACATTTCAGTAAAGTATCAGGAAGCCCCCACACTCTGAAAATGATCTTTTTGTCATGTTAATCTTTGTTTTTCTAGTGCCTGGTCCAGTGTGTGGCCCATGATAGATACTTGTCAGCAGTAGTGTGCAACGTGACACTTTCAAACAGAGGCTTTATGGATGTGTTCGGTTCTCACTGTTCCCTGGAGTTATGTTCTAAAGACAGTGTCTACAGACACTAGATTAGACAATACTGAGCCCTTGCTTCTAGGGAAACACAGGGTTCCTCTGTTTCTAACGTTTTTATCAACCTATGAGTACATCACCTTGGTCACTGGGTTTCTGTTTAAACACATCTCAAATGTATGCGTTGTTGGTTCTTTAACCTTGAACTCTTGACAGAGGCGCTGTAGCTCATAGCTTAGTGACACTCATCTAATACGGTATTATCTTCGTAAGGCACACCACAGCCTCCTGCCTCCTAGCAGCATGGCCCAGCCCTCCAGTACCAGACCCAGGGGATGTCTTAAATAGTGAAGTCACTATCAAGAATACACGGATGAGGGCCAGGGATTTAGCTCAGTGGTTCTGGTGCCTGTCTTGCAAGCACAAGGTCCCAAGTTTGATCTCCGGTACCAAAAAAAAAAAAAAGAATACACAGATGCAAGAATGTGACCCTAACTAGGCCACCTGAGGGCACCTGTTTCCACTCTGGTGAAACAGGGAGCTGAGGCGGCCTTGTTCAACCTCAGGTGGAGACACCAAGCAGCTCAACTTTCTACTGCTCCAAGTGTGTTGTGAGCAATCACAAAAGCATTTCGAGTATTGATGTTTGGGTTGCACAGAAATGTTAACAACTAGGTACATCTGCAAATATGGAGTCCATGAATAAGAAGATTAACTACTTTCAAAGTAAAATAGTGATCAGCATGTATGTACTTTCACTAATGATAAATACTTTAAAAATATTTTTGGCCCAGCAGAAAAATCCCATAGTCATGGAGTTCCCAACTCACTGAATAGTGCAATTCCTTAAAACTTCAGATATTTTTTGAGTGCCTCGCTGAGATGAGGAAACTGAAATCAGAAGAATGAAGTGACCTCACTGTCATTCACTGGTACTATAGTAGAACCGAGACTCTGGGTTCCTCATGAGGGAAACCCTCTTCCACTTGGGGGACAATTCGAACTCCAAATTCACAACCACTTCCACCCTTCTCTCCCTTTTTGTTTGTTACCCCTAATAATGGTACCAGGAAGTAGTGATGAAGGTCTCTGAGGCTGCCTTTGTAGAAACACAAATGATACAAAATTTGAGGGAGAGTGGAATTAGTAGTAATCACCTGTTTCCCTCTAAGTATAGCAGCGATCTGTCCACGAGGGATTCTGCTTCCACACACGGAGGTCACTGTTGCGATATTCCTTGGATACTGATGGATATGCACTCTGTCAGAACACCAGAAGAGTTATTGTGACCACTTGCCAGGTCATCCTCTTCCAGTAATGGAGAACAGCTTTTCTATGAAACCGGAAATTTACCTTTTAAAGACTGAATTGCATTTTTTCCTGACTATATTGGATATGTAGCTCACATCAGCAAAACATCTCACAACCACACAAGTCAAAATTCAGGCAATTTTCAATTTGCAAACACATTATCCAGGTACAAATATAAGAATTGGTTTCCAACATATATTAGCCTCATAAGCATTATTAAGCATTATTGTGGGCTCATAATCACTATACATATGTGCAGTTCCCAGGAAAAGATTACAAATGATGGCTGTGTTTCTAGGAATAACTATAAAAGTTTACTAATAATATCGAAACGTGACACAGACGCTGTTTGAACTATTTATTTGTCAAATGGACCTCTGAATGTTGTCAAAAACTGGCTTTCCATTTATAATGTGTTTTTGTTGTGTTCTGTTGTTTTTGCAGTGCTGTGCATCACATGTTGTGCATGCTAGGCAGGCACTTACCACTGCACTGTGCCCCGGCCCCTATAAACTTTTTTTAAAATCAGAAATATGAACCAAGATGGAAATAATGTAAAACTAGTAAAGAATTCCCTCATCCT